TGGGGGCCCCCTCGTACCCCTATGCGCTCAGGCCAAGCCGGTGAATCTTCGCCGAGAGAAAGTTGTGGAGGACGAACACGATCGGCTTGGGACAGCTCTCGAGGTCCAGCTCCTGGAATTTTGGGAATCGATCATCCTTAAATAAATTGCGATAACTGTACGTTCAAGTATAGCATCAATTAACAAAACAAATGAAAAGGAAGAGCAGTCCTAAATTGTCTCTCCTAGATGAGCATCTAGTTCAACTAAACCAATAATTCACCGTTTTCTTTTTATTTTACAAATTGATATCTCAGTCAAAGCCTGATTCTAGGGATTTGTAATAGGATCTTTTTCACGACAATATCGACGTTCTTTTCGTTTCTTTCGGTCCATTCGACAAAAATTACATCATCTACTTTATCACGATCGATATAGACAATGAAAGGTTTATTTAGTCTCGCGACCTTCCACGTCAAATTGAAAATAGAACCAATCGACGGGTTATTGTTTCTTCCGGGCGCGGGAGGAGATGGCGGCCGATCGGTCGCTTAATAAAAAATTCCAAGGAGAAACGATCCGGAGGATTCTCCATTTGCGGTTTCGCTTCAGAGGCAGCTCGAGAGCGGAATAATTTTTCCATCGTGACGTCTGTCGCGGGAAATTCTACCTCGATGCTTTTTCTCACCCTCCGCCCCCCCCTGGCCCACGCCCAACCCCCGTGACACCCATCCTCCTGGCTTCCAGAGAGCCGGAGCGTTATGAATGGCCATTGAACAGCGGGAGAGAACCGGACGACGGTGTTTGGGAAAGATGTAAAATACGTATTCTACGGTATCGTGCTCCGGCATCAAGGGCTCTTTCAAAGTGACGAGCACAATGGGATTACTCGGTGCACAGTCCTCTTTTTCACGATATCTCCGCCTCTCGTCCAAGATAATAATCTCGATAGTCTAGGTGGAGTCAATTAAAATTCTCAATACCATGGCCGACGGCAGAAAGGAAGCCTTCTTTTTCTCGTTGCACAATGAAATTCTTCCTCCCGATCGCGAGACGAAACGCGTCGCGTTATTATCGAACACGTCAGCTCCAGCTAGATATATTCCCCGTTAATTCTCTTTCGTTCGTGGAAGCTCGTAAGAAAATCGTGGTAACATTAAAACACGAATAATCGTCCTTTAGGATGAGATTGCAGGAAGAGTGCAAGGGAGAAATATGATAAGTTACGTTTCTTAGCTTTTTAGATGGGGACGATTCGAAAATTCAATACTTCGTCATCTTGTAACGTCGTGTGCTGCGCTGTTGCTCAAGTTCATTCGAAGCGGCGCTAGGTGGAAAAACGGAAGAAGTGGAAAATTACCAGAAGATCGTCTATGCTAGATTATTTCTACAGACTTTCAAAGATTTATCGACTATTTTTTAATCTCACGGATTCTTCCCCTTTCCGATAAGATTCTATTAAAATGGTTTTTTTATTCCTCGAGTAACTTCGACACGATAAAGTCTCCAGAAATGGACTTCGCTCTACGATTTTTACGTGGAATGTCATTCTTAAGCGAATGTCAGAGTGATATCGGATTTTTAAGGAACTTGATAGAGCAGAAATTTTAGAGAACTTAATAATAAGCAAATTTTCTGTCTCTCAATTTTCACTCACAATCTCGCCATCCTCGCCGCCAAAGTCGAGCCACAGTAGACGCGCCCCGTCGTCCGCTGACATCTTCAGTTTATCAAAGGACCTTCTCCAGAGAGGAGTCGGAGACGAGCTTGGACTCACTCCGTTACCTCCTACGCCTCTGGTTCCAGCTGCGTACAACGCGAAACCGTCTTCGTGGTTCACGACCAGCTGACAGGCCTTTCCTTGCCACGTGCATCCTTTGGACAAACAAAAGGCGAGATTGATAATTAGAATTTTATCTAGCGCCAGTGCACGTTAGAGACGAAAAATTTAGAATCGCAAGGCGTTTCCCGGAATGCAAGAATTTGACAGGAAGAAATATTAGCGTAATTAATTTTTCCAATTAAAAACGAGATTAGTAGTGCACCTCGGCACCAAAATTTCAAAATTTTTTCTGGATAGTGGATATACGAAACGAGAATACAAAAGTAGTCGGGCGGATTGCGAGCGAAATAAGAATTCTTTGACACAGCCAAGCTAAATTACATAGCACCAGTCGCAATTGAGAGAGAACAATCCTGCAATAAAACCATGTCACCGTCTATAGTGAAAGTCATCTGAATCGCGTCGATGCCAAACAATGAAGTGCTTTAATAAAACCGAGCTAAATTAAACAACAGCGAATCGATCGCAAAATAAAAAATAATCCGATGAAATCGAGCTAGACCAAACAACATCAGCCAGTCGTAAACCGTAAAGAAAGAAAAAGAGGAAATTGCCCGATGAAAACGATGAAACGAAAGGATGAAAACGCGATTTCTAATAATTTCAATTCGTTGTTTTAAAAATTACATTATATACATTATTTTCTTATTCCTATTTACAAGATAAACAATAAATATTTTTAACGCTTCTCTAGTCTGCAAATTTCGTCAGTAAATCACGACGTATGCAAGAGACGTATCCGACCGTGACTTTTATTTCGCTTGAGTTACGAACAAAAGATTACTCACGAACAGTATATTCACGTAACGAGTGAGCGGCCGCGTGGCAACCCTGAACGATCGCCCTGGCCCAGGCAGCTAAATCCCTTCGCGTCTCGGCTCGAAGATGATGCGTCACGACGCCGTCGATCGTGCCCACTCGCACCGCGAACGTGGCCGCGTGCTGCGTCGCACCGCTACTGCTACTTCCTGCCTCGTTCTGTCTCGCTGGTGACGACACCAATCTGCAAGCATAAAATTCGAAATTCGAAAATGAAATCTCAAATTTCTTCTTCTCGCTTCTTCTCTCTGCAGAATAAGATACGCCCTTTCTTACGTTCGGTGACTCTTTACGCTCGAGGCGGCTATCAGCTGTGCACATAGAATTAAGCGGACCGCAATAATCCTAAGAAACTGTCATAAATCGAAGCTTTTTGGTTTACCGTTAAGTCCGTCAATTAGCATAAAACATCTTCGAGTCAACAGGTTCCTTATGGTTATTGCTCCATCAGGTAAAAATTGAGTTTTTCCATGTTTCCCAGGATTCCACTCGCAAGCGACCAGTGGTGGGGCGATCACCACCGAACAAGAGTTTTCCTTTGTAACAGCATCGTCACCGGACTTCACCAGATCTACGACTACAGATCGGTCAACATATCTGCACTGGTTCATCGACTTTACAACAGTCAACATCTCTTTACCGGGTTTCACCTCTCAATCAGTCACCTACTTAACTTATACCTTACGCACCAGCGTAACTATCTTTTCTACAAAGTTGTTGGAAATATATATGTAGTATCGTAAATATAATTATGATTTAATTACAATGAATGGATTGTACAGATATTGATTAAACAGAAAACGATGGTTGTCTAACATGAACTAATCACAATAACGTACTATAATTTAGACAACTCGATAGTTAATTTGCAACTCTCGTCACCAGGGATCCAACGCTCTCTCTCTCTCACGCGGACCACACTCTCTCGACAACCCAACTCGCACTCTCTGATTTCTCGATTCATACCCTCTGGCTTCTCCACCGACACTGACTGTTCCAGCATCCCTTTGTCTTTTCTTAGGCCCACCACGCACGTGTTCTGCAACCGCTCGTGGCCAGAGTCACGTAGGCTTTTTCTACGAAACTATTCAATTGAAGGACCGACGAAACTATTCAATTGAAGGCTCTCGCGACATTGTTTATGGTTTACCCGATATCTCTTAGGCCTTTTGTCCATGATACTACATATACTATCTTTGAACTGTTAATTAAGTGTTATACTAATTAAACCACCTCTATTATCCTAATTGAAATAGGGGGTCGATCGTTCGTGGCGTTGATTGTCTAATGGTAAGGGGAATTTACGACTCCCGTTGACGCGCTTCCTCGCGATCGCGTCTTTCCACGACTGGTCGAAAAAACATCCTTCTTCTTTTCATTTCGCTCGTTCCCTTTCGTTTATTACTGTATCATTAAGTTCTTTATTTAGGGAAACAGATGGTAATCGAAAGAACCGGTAAGGGATAAAGAGGAAATTTCATCGGTATCGTTGCAAATTTAGAAGCACCCCCGGTTCGAGATCGAACAGCACAGGGTTGAATTCAACGTAAGCGAAATTTTTTTATGAACACGCGAATTCAGTGCGGCGTGAACTACCTTGCAGGGTAAATTACCTCGTGCGATCCACCCTACGTCGTAAAAATCGCTCGCGGCTTTATTGCGCGTGGCACGGAGCCGACTGACACCGGAGAGGCTCTCTTCAAACCCCCCGTGCTCTGCAATCTGTCCGCTGACGAATGGTTCTGACGTATGCGGAGCTCGCGTTCGTTAGATTTATAGATTTTTCGGGAGGACGTTGGTAAAAAATATGCCGGTCAAAATGGGTATGCGGCGAGAAGAGGTGGAAAAAAGGCGATTCGCATAATGCTTTGCTTTGAAGAAATGGACACCACGGAGAGAATTGCGTGTCATCGATGTCGTCGAGTTGCAGAAAATTTCAAACCGCAAGGGACGATCGTTTTATTGTAAAATTTGAATGCCACTTTAAATGCGAATTTTGGTATATCTTATCTGGTATTCTACATTTCATCGGATAATGTCAATCATGTTCATAAAATAGAGAAATTATTCCGTAAAATCAAGGAATTTTCAAGTATTATAGTCAACTATATTACAGTCGTAATTTAAACAACGCCACTCTATATTTAAAAATTTCTAATTTTCCGGAAACTACATCTTTCGGTAATTCGAGTTTCGTTTTAATCTCACCAACACCATATACAGTATGTATACAGAAATCGATCCTCAAAACTGTGTTTACTTACGACTCGACGAAAATACAATCGGCGATTCGATAATAAGAATAATAATAAATTAATTATTCGTTAACGGATGGACACCATTTTTACAATAACATGATAAAATACTATGTAAATTTTCGCAAAATTTTACTTGAACGACAGTACAATATGACAATCAATGTACGACATGTGATATCAGTGTCGCACAAAGACAGAAAAATTTTGTATCAGTTCACCAATATAATTTTCTTATACTTTGACTTCTACTTCGTGAAAGAAGGCAAATTAGCCGGTGTATTTGTTAGCAGTGTTACAGATTCTACCGATGACGTTACTATTATCGAGTTTTGACTTGAGAAGGAATATTAACCCTTTGCACTTTGAATTTTATTTCAATTTCGTTACCAGCAGCTCTCAACGCTTTTAAGCGTTTTATTTGAAATTTACTTTAACCAAAAAATAAGACAATTTAAATAAATGAAGGAAGAAAGAAATTCACTTAAATACCAGTTTTATTCACACTATTGTTGTATTTTGTAATTTTTAAGTGTATGATGTATCTTGAAACAATGTCCAGGATGCAACCCTGGTTTTCTTTCGCACGTTTTACAAAAAAAAAATAGGACTGAAAGAACGTCGAGTGGAACTCGACAAAGAAACTCCTGAGATAAAAACTGACGTCGAGTCACACTCGACATAGAAGCGCAAAGAGTTAAAGTTAATTTGCCTATCGCTAGACCAGAACAGTTAATTCTGTCGTTTAAAATATCATGTAACAATTACGCTTTACCTTCGAACATCTGTAATTCCCCCAAAAACCAGTATTATAACTTTCCTAAATACTTTCCAATAGTCTTTTTCAACGAACATCCAACTTCTCTCCAATTCTTTTATCCACAGAAATAAAACTGGATCTCGAAACCTTCACGATCCACTCGTTACGTCACGCTATCGGATTCACCAGTGCGGAAAGGATGGGTTATTCGCGTTCACCCGTTATACAGAGTAGCGGTGCGCACGTCGAATAACGTATGAGTTCCTCCGGGTGTAATCCCGGGTCGGGCGTTCCTCCCGGATCGCGTTCGACGGGGTTTCCCTGGCCCCGGAAACGTTCCCCACTTCTGATAGTCAATGCCTCTGAAAGGGAAAAGTTTCCGCGAGATTCGGAATCACGCGAGACGCGGCAGAACGCATTACGCTGCGTCGCGTGCATCGCGGATGGCTGCGACGAATCGTGAATAACAAACGACGGTTCGGCTCGTGATCTCGCGTTTCAATCGACATCGATCGTCCCCGGCTCCGGTAACTACGATCAGCGCGATAATGGAGGGTAGGGGGTGGTTTTTGGCTGGATGGAAACTGTGATTTCAGTTGTCGGTTCGCTTGATTTTTCCGGAATGCATAATAACTGGTATTAATTACAATAAATGAATAATTCTTCCTGTGACAGTGAACATCGCGAGATCCATATGCGGCTTGCTATCACGCGCATTTATAATTGGGTTCTTTGTGCGATAAGCGGAAATACGTTTGGCATTAACATTAGAACTACCACACCAGTCAAATTGACTGGTTTTACAATAATTTTATTCTAAAATTCCTACTTCATGTTATATTTTTTTCCACGCTGACGTAATGACGATAATTAAAAGAATGATATAATGAATTTTATTTTGTTTTCTATGTATTCAAACTTAAAATAATTTTGTATCAAGGCTACTTATACCAACGTCAGTCAAAATGACTGGTACTTGTCAAAGTGTAAAAGAATCCTGCAATCTGTTTATCGAATTAACCAGTTTCCTCGCTTTGTACAACTACCCACATGTTTCTCAAATTTTTTACTGCGTATCATTCGATATGATGATATCGGATATCAGGAAAATTCCGGATCGATCGCTAGATCGCTAGATGCTAACACTAGAAATACCACAGCAGTCAAAATGACTGGTTCTACAATTTTATAAATTTGTCAAGTCACGTTTAGGGATCATGGTCCCAGATGGGTTAATAATACCAAAAATGTAACATGGAATTCCTTCTATAAGAAAGTAATAAATTAATAAATATAAAAATATTCTATTATTAGGTATTTTTTAAAGACCAGTCATTTTGACTGGTTTTGGCAGAAATAACTTCGTGTTAACTATCGCTAGTTTTGGTGTTAATCGATCGGCTCGATAATCAAAGCGAAGTTGATGTGGGAAGAAAGCAGTACCGCGTAAATATTGCTGTTAAATCGCGTCAAAGACTGTAAAGTATCCTTTGCACTTCATTCTGCCAGAGATCACCAATCTCCAAATATAAATATCATACAATTTTTGTTTTCAACGGAGGCAAAAGAACGTATTAAAAGATATCAAAGAATCCATGAATAAATGAATTATCACGTCGAGGAGATGGGAGAAGTGAATTAATTCTGGCTGGTCGACGACTTAACTTATGAAACAACAACCTTCGCAGTCCCGTTCGTCGACGATTATTACAGCTAAAAATCGACTGAATGCCGCCGGAGCGCACTCCAGTAGAGAGCTTCGAGGGAGTCATTGAAATAATTAAGCAGTCAGTCGAACAAACAGCGAAACGAAGGCGAACTAGAATAAAAAGAAGACGAGGGGAAAGCGCGAAGAAGAAGAACCAAGCGATTGCTCTTCAGCTACGATAATCGAGTGTCAACGAAGAAACAGAAGCAGCAGAAATAGGACAGAGGGAAAACGAACAACCGGGCGTAACGCAAAGCTAAGAAGTCCAAGGAGAAATATAGAACGGGTACCGGCGCGGGTGGGTAGAAAAGAAAAGAAGAAAATAGGGTGGCGAGGGGTGACGGGGATAAACGGAAAAGCAACGGATGGTAAATAAAGGCGTTAAACGAGAATGGATGTTCGTCCGAGGCCTGTAATCCCGGCCAAAAGGGACGAAGCAGAAGCCGTTTGCAACTTGGAAG